GGGGGGGGGAATTCCTGCAGAAGTTGGGTTTAAAGGAGGAAAGAGACCCAGTCTGCCCCTAGCTGCAGAGAATGTTCTCTTGAGAGGGGTAATACCAGGTGATTTATATCAAGGGCTTAGTAAGTGCCATATATGTTTCCACATAGATAATCTTGTGTTTATTTTATCTGATCATTAAAACAGCTCTATGATATAAGAAGCATTAGAACCCCCATTTTACAAATGAGGAAATTGAGACACAGTAAAATTTACAGACTTGCCACAGTGAGTGAAAGAGTCTAGATTCAGGATCTGGTAACTATGACTCAAGAGCCTTATATGCACAATGGTTTCTATTATTTCTCCTGTGGAGATGTAAATAGTGACAAAAAAGACCAAAAAGAAAAAGGAACATGTCAGAAAGGGAAGGAGAGAGGGCGAGAAGAGAGGAGAGAGGCTTGGAGGTGCAAGTTTTGTTCTAGGTAGAACTTTGAAGATGAAGGCAGAGAGGAAAAGGTAACAAGTGAATTTATTAATATTAAAGGAGATAATTTTGAAACACTCAGCTTTGAGATAAAAATAACATTTTATTCTCTTAAAGTAAATATATCATCGTGCAAACTCATGTAATGTTATTATTATTATTTTTATTATTTTAACTTATTTTATGGGCTAGGACCAGTTGGTGGTGTGGTGGTTGAGGCGGTGGATTTCCATATGGCCGACTCTGCGGTGTGAGTCCCATTCTCCTCTCGGGATCTTGGGCACACACGCACACGCGCCTGGTGTGAGTGTAAGCCGCTGGGTCGGGGACTTGAACCACGGTTGACTATGTGGGAGTCCAGCGACATAGCCATTACGCTCACTGCTGGTTCCCCTGGCGTGATTTTTAAACTGCCATGTTTAGGACTCAACCTGCATTCAGCCATGTGGGAGTCCAGCTTTGCAACTGCTACACTATCTGCTGGCCCCAACCCAGCATGATTTTTTTTTTCTTTTAAGAGGTTTCTGCCTTAGGAAGTGTGTGCTCACCAGAGGGAGACAGACACAGTGAGAGGGAAAGTGATAAATCACTCACTAGTAGGGATGGCCATGCTGCAATCCCTTCTATTCCTTTCTCCTTCCGAGGTCTTGAGCATGCATGTACATGTGGCTGGTGTGATTTTCTTTCTTTCTTTCTTTTTAAATTTAATTTTATTTATTATCATAATTTTTTTATATTACATTTAATCACATTTATCTTTATAGTGTATTACGTTTCCCTTTCCAGCATGATCATCATGCATATCAATCAAGACAAAGACACTGCTATCCACATCATCATCATCAAATAGCTTTACATAATTTTTTTGAGATTATTATTATTATTTATTCTCATTAGTTTTTAAACATTCAATCACCATATATGCTGGTGTGATCTTCAAGCCACTGGATTTGGGACTTGAACTGCAGCTGGCTACCTGGGAGTCTGGTGATGTAACTACTATGCCATCTGCTGGTCTCAATCTTGTATGACTTTTTTTAGAGGTTTTTGCTATAGGGCGCATGCGCTCACCAGACAGACAGAGAGAGACATTAGAGACAGAAAGCGAGATATCATCCCCCAGGGGGAATGGCCACGCCGCAATCCCTTCTCCTCCGTTCTCCTGTTGGGATCTTGGGCATGCACGCACATGTGCCCGGGGTGAGTTTTAAGCCACTGGGTCTGGGACGCGAACTGTGGTCAACTACATGGAAGTCCAGTGACATAGCCATTACGCTAACTGCTGGTCCCCAATCTAGCATGACTTTTTAAAAAAAATTATTTATTTAATTTTATTCATTCATTTATTTTAATTTGACCAGACACACACACACACACACACACACACACACACACACACACAGGCATGACTTTTAAGCTGAATCCAGGATGCCAACTGTGCAGTGGGTCATGTGGGTTTACCTCTTCCAAACACCTAGAGTGGATGGTAGAAACTATTCATTTTACAGAGAGAGGGGCTTCTGATAACAGCAAAACTAAAATGACACAAAAAAATTTGTTAAGAGGTTGCATGTACTAGCTGGAGAGAGATGGTGGAGAGGGGCAAGAAAGCAGCTCCTCATGGGTGGTGTTCCTCCTCCATTCTTCTCCAATCCCTTCTCCTCCATTTCTCCCTCCTTTTGGTATTTGGGCACTCACACATGTGCCTGGTATGTTTCTCAAGCCACCGGGTCTGGGACTTGAATCACCCAATTGGTCATTTGGGATCCAGCTGTTCCAACCACCATGCCATGACCTGGCTCGACTTTTTTATTTTTATCTTTTTTTTTTTTTTTGGAGAGATTTTCACTGTAGGGCGCGTGCGCTCGCCAGACAGACAGAGAGAGACATAGAGACAGAAAGCGAGAAATCACCCCCCAGGGGGGATGGTCACGCCGCAATCCCTTCTCCTCCATTCTCCTCTCGGGATCTTGGGCACGCACGCACACACGCCCGGCGTGAGTTTTAAGCCACCGGGTCCAGGACACGAACCGCAGTCAACTACGTGGGAGTCCAGCGACATAGCCATTACGCTAACTGCTGGTTCCCTATTTTTATCTTTTTTAAGAGAGAGATATTTTGGGACCAGCAGATAGTATAGTGGTTATATCACTGGATTCCCACATGGCCAGCTGTGGTTTGAGTCCTGGACCTGGTGGCTTCAAAATCATGCTGGGTATATATGCATGTGTGCCCAAGATCTCGGGAGAGTAGAGAAGGGATTGCGGCATGGCCACCCCCCTGGGAGATGATTTCTTGCTTTCCCTCTCTCTGGTGAGTGCATAGACCCTATAGCAAAAATCTCTCTCTAAAAAAATAAAAGGAGAGAGAGAGAGATTTCAGGAGGGAAGATGGTGTGGTGGTTGAGGCGCTAGATTTTATATGGCTGACCGTTGTTCAAGTCCTGTATAGGCAGCCCCCAAAATCACAACAGATAAGTAGTATATAAATAAATAAATTTAAAACTTTTTTAAGAGAGATTTTTGTGACAGGGTCTCTCCATGTTGCGGCCCCAGTTTCTTTGCAAGGACTGCAGGCACATGCAAGTTGAAGTGTGCCTGGCCTGTTGAAGTTGGGCCTAGAACTGAGCCTGGACCTCCCTTGAAGCCCCAGCCACCACACAGTGTTGCCCTCCCACTTGTGCCACTGTGACTGGGTCCCAAAATGATGTCTGAATCAAGCTATAGACCTTACTAATTTTAGGACGACTGCATTTATACCAATTTGAGACGTTAACATTGTTAGAAGGAAATGAATCAGGATAACTTTTTTTTTTTTTTTTTTGAGAGGTTTTTCACTATAGGGCACGTTGCGCTCGCCAGACAGACAGAGACAAACAGAGACAGAAAGCAAGAAATCACCCCCCAGGAGGGATGGTCACGCCACAATCCCTTCTCCTCCATTCTCCTCTCGGGATCTTGGGCACGCACGCACACGTGCCCGGCGTGAGTTTTAAGCCAGCGGGTCTGGGACGCAAACTGCGGTCAACTACGTGGGAGTCCAGCGACATAGCCATTACGCTAACTGCTGGTTCCCACTTTTTAAGTTACTTTAACCCTATGATTCTATGGCAGATTGAGTAGCAAATCTTAAAGTGCAGATAAAAATGTCTCTGTCCTAAATTTTACGCATAGACAAGGTTTCGCAGTGAAGGAGAGTATGTCTGTGGCCTATAGATTTATAGAAACTAGTCCTAAAAGATAATTCACAAGAAAAATTAATGAAGTAAACATTGTACCATGTTTCACTTTCTCAAATGATGATTTTTGAAGATGTACAGAAGAAAATTCTTGAAATTTTTTGGTTATTTCTCTGATTATCACTATTATCTTAATTTATCTCAAATTTTCATAATTAAAAAGAAAATTAGGAATACTAACTCTTTTCCTTTTGGTCATAGTCTTAGGTAAAATGAAAAAGTGAACATAGTAAAAATGTATTTTCAGTTTTTTTGGGTAAGTTCTCGGAAGGGAGTTTGTTTGCTGGCCAGCTCAATTTTTGACAAAGAAAAATGGGCCGCTCTTGCACAAAGATGCACTGTTTCCAGAGCAAACCGAAAAAAAAAAAAGGAGAAGTTTTAAGTTGAAAAAAGTTAAGAGAATATCCATCATGATAATTTAGTTAGTAAGTATAAAGTTCCATGAACTAATAATACGTGTGGCTTCTGAGGATAAAAAATAAGATTTTGCCAAAGAACTTGAAATACTAATATCTGAACATTTAATAGTAAGCCAGGCACTCTACATTTCACTTTTACTATCCCATAATTAAAGATACAGAGTTTCTAAAAAGCTATTTTGTCCATGCAGCTGTACAGTCCTCTGAAGTTTTCAGAAGAAACGAGGCAAAGTATTTGTGAAGTTAAGCTGCCTTGGTTCCTTCCACAGAGCTGCCATCTGGGCTTGTTTATTTGTGTTTCCAACTTTCTGGAACAGAGAGTTTCTCTGTTAGGGACAGGGCACTGAGCAAAGGAAGTGTCTTCCAGAAGACTACTCCTTTTCTTTCTTTCTTTCTTTTTCTTTTAAACTATATTTTAAAACTTTAAGTTTAGCTTGGTCAAAAATATTAATAAGCACAATCACAAAATTTAACACAGCTGGGAGCCTCAGAACTGTCTTAGCAAACAATCTTCCTCAATGTGATACAAACAATTTTCCTACATGTTACCTCCTTGTGCTTTTCAGCCCTTTTTCAAAACACAAACTTGTCATTTTTCATGAATCCTTCTACAAATATGCATTTAATTTAAAAATGGAAGAAGTATTTCTAAGCAGTTTTCCTAATTTTATAAAGTACATATGAGTCACGTTACAAAAACATGAAGTAAACAGGACACTACAAAACCCTTTCAAAATATAATTAAGAAACAAAGGTTACTTTTAGATTGATTATACAATCTGATTATGAAGAACGATTTAAAAATTCGTAAGTCAACACTCAAAAATTAATATTCTCTTATCTTTGAAACATTCAACAAATAAGCTAGAAGAAAAAGTACCTTGTAAAGTAAAATCCAGCAATATATATTCATAAGCAAATTCTGTCTTTGTTTCCACTTGCGGTCTCTTCAGAGTAGAAAATATTTTTCCAGGGCTGCTATCATCAGGGTCTTCTAGCTTTCTAAGTCCGCACCCCATGGCAAAATCTGCAAGGAATTAAATTGCAGGAAAGGGGAGGGAGACTGGCAAATTCTGTTGTTTAAGCTGCAAAAAGAAAGTTACAGACTTACTGCTTTGATTTTGTTTTCAGCTAAAATGTAGGCACCCAAAAAGAAAATATTTGAGTCCAAAGAAAGGAGCTGGAGACTTGTTCCTATCCATTTTTCTGTAAAGTCACTGCACCCATGGTTAAGCTACAGCTCCGGAGGCGAGGCTTGGTCTTAGAGAAATACGCAAGCTGCTACAACTTAGCGGAGAATTTCCATGCCACGTCAATTTACAGCCAGCCCCCTACCAGAGTTCTGTCGCTCAGGGCACCACAGTGCTTTGTCTGTCCCTGCTGGCTGGATGTTAAAAAAGGTGTCCAAAACGGAAATAAAAAGGCAAAAGTGCAACTCAGATGTTATTATCTGAAAGTTGAGGTTATATTCAGACACAGGGGCATAAAATTCTTGTTCTGTTTTCTCTTTCCTCTGTCCTGCGCCCACCCTCCTTCCTCCCTGCTACTACCAAGAAAGCAAAAGGAGAGAGAGAGGAGGAATGAAAAAAAAAAAAAAATGGATTCTCAACATGGTTGGAAACAAAAATAATTTCCAGAAAGGAAGTCAACTTTATGAGGAAACTGTGGAGTCCAAAGGAGAAAAGTAAAGTGGAAAAAAAATACTACTTTAGCCTTAAGGTAACGTTTTAAAAGAGTTCTTTACATATAGTGTCTTTTTGCTGTAAAAAAATCATATGCTGACTAAAACAGCCAAGTATAAAAATTTTATATTAAAATATTTTCATAAAAGATTACATTTCAAGGAGAGACTGTTAATGTGGTTAATTAATTTCTCTAACATCTTCAGGTAGTTTAAATCACTGCTATATAAAGGCTTATGATAGTAACTAATTCAATACTTCTACAGATCTCAAAATATCCTTAATTAAAAACAAACAAAATACTGACAACCTGATGCATTTGCTCTTATAAATTTCCATTTACCTGAGTTAAGAACAGTTTTTAATGGATCAGTTGCAATGAGTCAGAAAGTGTGGTATATTAATCAAAATGGGGAGCCTGGAATTAGACTGCCTGGGTTCAAATGCTGCTTCTAAGGGCCACTAAAGATGTGATCTTTGGTGAGTTACTTGACCTCCTTAAGTTTCAATTTCCTCTCCTGTAAAATGGAGTTAATTATAGTACTTACTTCATGGGCTTGTTATGAAGGCTGAAAGAGAATCTTATCTCCCATCTCTCCTATCTCTCCTATCAGGACTTGATTCCTGGCTAATAGCACAAAGTGCATTTGTTAATGTGTGTACAATATAAAACAGGATTGGGAGTAGTAATAGGAAGGAAGTGATTCTGCAACCACTCCTATTATTTACAAAATATAACCCTGATCACATCTGAAATTCTAGAAAACAAAAGCCCGAAAAGGTTTTTCAATCACATTGAAGAGTACATAGGGAAACTCTCAAAAGGGAGATGGACTATTTAGTTTGTAGATCACTATCACCATTTGTCTCTTCCTTCTGCCTACTTTGTCTTTAAATGTTTTCTCAGAAGTTTTTTTGTTTTGTTTTGTTTTCTTTTAATTTGTCAAGCACCCTGGAGGGGGATGGCCATGCCACAATCTCTTCTCCTCCATTCTCCTCTTGGGATTTTGGGCGCACATGCACATGCCCAGTGTGTTTTTTGAGCTGCTGGCTCTGGAACTTGCACTGCACAGTTGACCATGTGAGATCCAGCTGCCTTAAACACCATGCCACTGCTGGCCTATCTCAGAAGTATTTTTAACAGAGGAAAACTTCATAGTTTTCCTGCTCAAGGATGAGTGTGGTTGGCGGTAATTTCTGGGTAAATTTGGCTAAGACAGCAGACTCTGACCCACTGTGACTCATTTGATTATTTGCAGTGTTTTGTTGCCGATTATTTTTCATGTCCTCTTTTGTATGATAGGCTGTGAGTTCCTGTAAGGGAGCAATGGAATATATTTATTTTTATTTTGAAATTATGACCTATGATTTGCAAATAATCATTGTGCATTTTTGTCAGGTATGTACATTGTACATTTTTTTTTCACAGTATGGTTTTTTTTTTTTTTTTGGAGAGGTTTTTGCTATAGGGCATGTGCGCTTGCCAGACAGACAGAGAGAGACAGAGAGACAGGAAGCAAGAAATCACCCCCAGGGGGGATGGCCATGCTGCAATCCCTTCTCTTCCATTTCCTCTTGGGATCTTGGGCACACATGCACATGCACCCAGCGTGAGTTTAAGCCACCGGGTCTGGGACTCGAACTACGGTCAACTACATGGGAGTTCAGTGACATAGCTATTATGCGAACAGCTAGTCCCACACAGTATGGTTTTTCAAAGCATATATATAGTATGTAATAATCAAATCAAAACTATAGACTTATCCATTGTCTTAAACATTGAACATTACGAATGTTGTGCACATTCCATAATACTTCTACTAGTTTCTTTCTTTCTTTCCTTCTTTCTTTCTTTCTTTCTTTCTTTCTTTCTTTCTTTCTTTCTTTCTTTCTTTCTTTTTAAACCGATGTATATACTGAACTGTCAGCTGTGGTATAAATCTCCATAATCTATTCTACTTGTTTACATGCATTCTTGGGTTTGTTACTCATTTCTCTCAAACTCTCCCTCTTCTTGTGGAGCTGCTGGCATCTATTTCTATGTTATTGAGTACTGTAGTTTTCACCACAGAGTGTGAACAGTTGGTATATGTTAAGTGGGGATATACAGCATTTGACATTCATAGCCTGGCTAATTTCACTTAGCATTATATCAACTATTGGTCATGACATGTTTTTGCATACAATACATAAATAAATACGCTATGACTTTCTCGATGACCTAATAGTTCATCCACTTTGTGTCAAACATCAAGATTTTGTTGTTTTTTAGAGCTGAGTTGTATTGCATAGTGTCTTTGTGCCATATTTGCTTAACTCATTCATTTGTTATTGGCACCTAGGTCAATTTCAGATCCTAGCAATAATGCTGCATACATGGTTGTGCAAATGTCTCTCCCACTGGGTGATTTTCTGTCCTATGTACCGAGAAGTGGGAATATTGGGTTACACCGTAGTTCTATTTTTAGGTTTTTGAGGAACTGCCATACTATTTTCCATAATGACTGTACTAATTTACATTCCCACCAGCAGTGCTGGAGAATTCTCTTCAGAAATGGATCACTAGTATCTACTGCAGTACCAGGAAGATTATTTGTTTGTTTGTTTCCTCTATGAATGAGAGAAACAGAGAAGAGAGACAGAGAGACATTGACAGAGAGATACACATAACACCCCCAACAGTCTTAATGTCACAATCCACTCTAGTTTCTGTCAGCCCTGGATCATGGGCAAGTGTGTACCTGGCATACTAAGGGAGGTCTCTGGATCTGAATTAGGAATCTTCTTATGTGGATTGCCTCTCAGAGCTTTGTGTTTTACCACTGCGCCACCATGTGGCCCCAGTTATTTCTTAATCATTCTATTTACTAAGGGCCTACTATATAACAGGCACTGAACTAGATGCTGGGTACATAAGATGACTACATACAGCTTCTGCCCTAAAGAGACTTGGGATTAATGAGGAATACAGACTTACAGATAATTTCAATATGATTTGGAAGCTGCTGATAGAAGTGTGGATAAGATGTTGTAGAAACCCAAGAAAGGGCCTCAGATGATGATATTGGAGCTGTCTTCAAAGATTAATATGTATAAAACAGGTAAATAAAAGTGGGAGCATGCGTCAGGAGGAGGGAAAAGCAAAACAAAGTCAGAAATCATCAAACAGCATGGCATGTCTGAGGAACATGAAAGAGTTGAGAATTACTGGAATGTAAGCACTGAGGAAGGTCCGTTCTAAGCTGTAAAGGTTTTGTGTGCCATACAAAAAGAATTTCAACTTTATTTTATAAGCAACAAAGGAAAGTCAAATGATGAAATGGAATAATCAAATGAATTTGAAGCAGACAAGTAACATCAATTTGCATTTTATATTGGTCACTGTGGCTGCTTTGAGGACCATGGTAACTGGAGCAAGAATAGAGGGAGATCAATTAGAAGGCTAATGTTGAAAGCTGGTAACTGAATGAATGAGTGTGGTACATCAAGAGGTCCTTAAAGAACTTATTCTACCCTTAATAAAAGAAACCATAATTTCTTCATCTTTTTTCTTTTTTTAAGAGAGGTTTTGCTATAGGGCACGTTTGCTTGCCAGAAAGACAGAGAGAGAGAGAGACAGAAAGTGAGAAATCATCCCCCAGGGGGGATGGCCATGCTGCAGTCCCTTCTCCTCCATTCTCCTCTTGGGATCTTGGGCACACACGCACATGTGCCTGGTGTGAGTTTAAACTACTGGACCCGGGACTCAAACCGCAGTTGACTACATGGGAGTTCAGTGACATAGCCATTATGCAATCTGCTGGTCCCAAGAAACTATAATTTCTTAAGTTCACAATTGAGGAATCAGGTAATTTCCACTCCAACATAAAGTTTTATTTGATGTGTGTGTGTGGTGTTTTAGATAGTGTCTTACTGTGTCATCATCCTTCTGTCTCAGTTTCCAGAATGACTGGGAATATAAGTACCTGCCACCAAACCCAGAATTTTCCCATTTGGGTCAGCTTTGCAGAGCCTCATATTTGATTGCTGTACCACTGTTTGGTAATTTTTTTTTTTTTTTTTTTTTTTTTAATACCAGTCAATAAATAAGGTCAAAGTTACTTGGTTAAAAAAAAAAAAATACTGTTAGAGAGGTTGAAAAGTGAGAATGCACCCCTGATGAGGTGGCGCAGTTGTACTACAGTCTGTTCTCTTCCACCTCTTCCTCTTTTTAGGGTTTTGGGCATGCATACAAGTGCCCAGCATGATTTTCCAAGTCTCTGGGTCTGGAACTTGAACCACATGGTGGGCCATGTGGGATCTAGCCACCTTAACTGCCAGGCTACAGACTAGTACCCCAATAATTAAAAAAAATTAAAACAAAATTTAGAGAGATTTTTTGCTACAGGGAATGTGCATTCACTGGAGAGACAGAGAGACAGAAGTGAGAAATCACCCCCCAGGAGGATGGCCACATCACCATCCCTTTTCCTCCATTCTCCTCTCAGGATCTTGGGCATGCACACACATGTACCCCGCATGAGTTTTAAGCTGCCAGGTCCAGGACTCAAACCATGGTCGACAACATGGGAATCCAGTGATGTAACCATTACACCATTGGCTGGTGCTCCTCTCCTCCATAATCTTTACAGAAACACCTCCCCCCCCCTTTTTCCTAGAGGGTGCATGCACTTGCCAGAGAGAGACAGAGACAGAAAGGGAGAGGAAAAAGCACTCCCCATGGGAATGGTCACACTGCAATTTCTTCTCCATCTCTCTCCTTTAGGGATTTTGTGCATGCATATGCATGCACCTTATGTAGTTTCCCAAGTGGGTAGGTCTGGGACTTGAACTGTGCAGTTGGCGATGTGAGATCCAGTGGCCTTA